TGCACACGTTGTCTCGGCTGACTGCGCGCCGCTGGCGACAGTGCAAGACCGGAGAAATACCGTCTGTTATTTTTCTCCTCCCTCTCCCCCGTCGCAAGCCTAAAGGCATAAAAAACCCATATTTAATAAAATAAATGAAAAAACGAAATTACAACGTTGTAATACAAAAATAATAAAAAAAGGATAGAGTTGAGAAAAGGAAAAATGACGCGAACTACTCACATACGCTCGATTTTATGAACAAAGAAGGCGTTGACGCACCATTGAGGCGATCGTTCAACGACCAATTTATGAACAAAGGAGGCGTTGACGCACCATTGAGGCGATCGTGCAACGACCGTCCTATGTCGTTAAATAGCGCACCGTTGAGGTGATCGCTAAAATTGCCTATGAAAGGCAATGAGGTTTTTCGACACCTCGGAAAGGCGCGAATACAAAAAACTGCACTAGGCAGGACGTTTTTTATTGTTAACGAACCTCATACATTTATGCACTCGTTGTACACTTAAATTTTTACACGATTCCTTTAGCGGTAACTCAAAAAAAATTGAACTGAAAGGGTTGCGCAATACGTCGATTTGCGTCTTTGTGAGGGCTACTGGGGTAATGCCGAAAGGGTCTTTGATTGCAAGGCGAACACGTGTGGTTTTACCGGTGTCAGCATGAATACTGCCCTCTTTTCGCGGCAATTCTCATGAGACCGGAAAAGTACCGTCACACAGCGTCATTGAACTGTCGCGCTCATGTGAACTCACCCATGCGCATTCACTCTGGCGCACGCACACACATACAAATTCCGTCACAACGGAACAAGTTCGTTATTAAATAATTCAACAAATATAAAACTAAGCTATTAGTTTTTGATCAATGATTGTTTTTTTCAATTTTAACTAGTCCATTCAATTTTTTTATTACTTTGTTCAGAATAATGTTATTTTATATAGTTAAAATATTAATTATAAAATTGGCATGTTGACAAACTTATAGAAAACCTTAGAAAAAATTATTTATGTATATGTACTGTGACGGTAAACGTCTAATTAGCGATAACAATATAACCTAACTGTTACTCGCGGGGGCAGCACCTACCGGGGGGACGAAATACGTAACGAAGGAATTCGGCGCGCGAGCGGACGGAACGCGCGCGATTGAAACCGAACCAGTGAAGCTTTGACCATCATTGTGTTCGCCCGCTTTTCTTTCCGCTATCGCCGATCTTCGTGCCGTCAACGCCAACACGATAAGAGAAGAACATAGAGATCAGTGCCAGCTTGCCGTGACCGCTGTTGCCAAGGCGCCACACGTCTGCAGAACCCGAGCCGACGAAGGAGTGTGTGTGAGATTTCGCCATCGAGGGCGAAACCGTGTGCGCGCGAATTCGCGACCGGCGAAAATAAACAAAACAGTTCCGCGCAGTGCGACTACTTTTCGTCCGCTCCGTACGCCTGCAATAATAAGGTAAGCTGGCCAGCTTAATCTCGCGATCGCGGTTGCATGTTTAATAATTAATTTCCGACATTCGAAGCGTGCATGTAGCGGCTCCAATAACAAAGAGCAGCGAGCGTCCCGACAATACGTGTTGTCGATGAGCGAGCGTCGATGTAAACAAACGCGCGGGCCGACCTTATGTAGTATTTGAGTGATAATAAAAGGTTCTGTTCGAGTTACTAACAAGTGTTTTTCGATTCGCTTAACCCATTAACGACCAAGACGGTCGATTTTAGACTAACTTTTCGTAGCTGAATTTCAGGTACTCAACGAAGTAATAACTGGGTCCGACATATCAATCTTTATGTATTTTTGTCTGCTGAATCAGAATCTGGGCTCGAAATTCGAAAATTTCTATTGCAAAAAAAGATATGGCGATTTTTTTGCAAAAAAATCTGAAAAAAAATCGCATTTTCAAACTTTATGATTTTTTTTCAGGCAGAAATCGCATGAATTCATAGTGAAATCATCAACCATCGCTGCACAAATTTGTTGAAGTTTAACGATAAATTTTTACATATATGTATTTTTCGCCAAAATGCAAAAAATTGCATAAAATCGCATTTTTTGTTCATTATTTTTAGTCTTGAAAACTAAAGGATTAAACAAAAATTGTCTAAGAATAAAAATGTCTTAGAATTGAGCAAGGAATACTCTTAAATTATTTCAGATTTTTTGAGTCAATTTTTGATTTTTTGAAAAATGCTAAAACCAAATTTTTAAAAAATGTCTGCAAAAAATCTGAAAAAATTTGAGAGTATTTTTTGATCAATTCTAAGATATTTTTATTCTTAGACAATTATTGTTTAATCCTTTAGTTTTCGAGAAAAAAAATAATGAACAAAAAATGCGATTCGTTGCAATTTTTGCATTTTGACCGCCATTTTGTCGATAAATTCAGATATGTAACAAATATCTATCTTGACTCTACAGTGATTTTTTACTCTTTGCATAACCCAGAGACAACGTCGTGGACGTGGTAAAAAAATGTCTCCTTCGGGGTGCTTTTTTACCGTGAGTCCCCTTGCCTCTCACTAGTCGGGGTGCTTTTTTATCGTGAGTCCCCTTGCCTCTCACAAGCACCTATATTTTAGTGCCTTTTTTTCATACACGAACTGCAAAAATATAATTGGCAATCACTACATAAAAGGTATGTTCTTACAGGACAATTAGAACAACTTTTTTGCTTGCTTTCTCTGATCGTTTGATGTTTACTTTGCTTTATTTTACCATCATGAATATAACTTTTAGCTATCGATATAGCGAAGTCTTTTGTTCCAACTTTATTTTCATTATTCTTAGCAGCATTGAATATAACAACAGAATTTGTAATGGCAGCCTGGATGAGCCTAATGAAGACAACCCAAGTCCATTTCTTTAAACGAATACTAGGCAATAAATTATTACAGTGTCCATCATGAACATCGACCCCACCCATGTACTAATTGTAAAGGTGAAACGTTTGTGGGATTGGTATCTCAATTTTTGCCTTTTCGTTCGAACTATATCTCCTTAGTGGTTCTAATGGAGTGACCCCTGCTGACGTTGATAATATTGACACCAATTTTGAATCCATTACAGTAATATAGTTGAACGAAAAGGCAAAAATTGAGATACCAATCCCACAAGCGTTTCACCTTTACAATTAGTACATGGGTGGGGTCGATGTTCATGATGGACACTGTAATAATTTATTGCCTAGTATTCGTTTAAAGAAATGGACTTGGGTTGTCTTCATTAGGCTCATCCAGGCTGCCATTACAAATTTTGTTGTTATATTCAATGCTGCTAAGAATAATGAAAATAAAGTTGGAACAAAAGACTTCGCTATATCGATAGCTAAAAGTTATATTCATGATGGTAAAATAAAGCAAAGTAAACATCAAACGATCAGAGAAAGCAAGCAAAAAAGTTGTTCTAATTGTCCTGTAAGAACATACCTTTTATGTAGTGATTGCCAATTATATTTTTGCAGTTCGTGTATGAAAAAAAGGCACTAAAATATAGGTGCTTGTGAGAGGCAAGGGGACTCACGATAAAAAAGCACCCCGACTAGTGAGAGGCAAGGGGACTCACGGTAAAAAAGCACCCCGAAGGAGACATTTTTTTATCACGTCCACGACGTTGTCTCTGGGTTATGCAAAGAGTAAAAAATCACTGTAGAGTCAAGATAGATATTTGTTACATATCTGAATTTATCGACAAAATGGCGGTCAAAATGCAAAAATTGCAACGAATCGCATTTTTTGTTCATTATTTTTTTTCTCGAAAACTAAAGGATTAAACAATAATTGTCTAAGAATAAAAATATCTTAGAATTGATCAAAAAATACTCTCAAATTTTTTCAGATTTTTTGCAGACATTTTTTAAAAATTTGGTTTTAGCATTTTTCAAAAAATCAAAAATTGACTCAAAAAAATCTGAAATAATTTAAGAGTATTCCTTGCTCAATTCTAAGACATTTTTATTCTTAGACAATTTTTGTTTAATCCTTTAGTTTTCAAGACTAAAAATAATGAACAAAAAATGCGATTTTATGCAATTTTTTGCATTTTGGCGAAAAATACATATATGTAAAAATTTATCGTTAAACTTCAACAAATTTGTGCAGCGATGGTTGATGATTTCACTATGAATTCATGCGATTTCTGCCTGAAAAAAAATCATAAAGTTTGAAAATGCGATTTTTTTTCAGATTTTTTTGCAAAAAAATCGCCATATCTTTTTTTGCAATAGAAATTTTCGAATTTCGAGCCCAGATTCTGATTCAGCAGACAAAAATACATAAAGATTGATATGTCGGACCCAGTTATTACTTCGTTGAGTACCTGAAATTCAGCTACGAAAAGTTAGTCTAAAATCGACCGTCTTGGTCGTTAATGGGTTAATTCTTATTGCTTCCACTCACTTTTTCCTAGATCAGATGACTTATTGGTTGACTGACGCCTGTCTCCGCATGCTCTCCGGACTACATTTTGAGCATAGATTATTACGTTCGCCCTTTCAACAAAGTCGCGCGAATAAAAATATAATTAAACGGTTCTACCCCGTTACAGTACATAAAATGTGAATGGTTAATTGAGTAGAATTTGAATTACTTATTATTATAATTACGCAATGTAGAACTTATATAGGGATATCTGGTGATTAGCAAACGTTTGACCTGTTTTATCGACTAACTGCCGCATATATTACTAATTTTTACATTTTCCTCAATTTTGGATAGAAAATCGACAAAAGGAACATTGTTTCGTAATCCGGGAATAAGGAGCTATCATCCGCTATCGATATTATTTCTTTTTAAACAGGAGAAAAATGTTTAATGCATTTTGCGCGCTGTACGAACACCCGATTTTTTTTCGCAATTTTCTTAAAAACGGAAAATCCGGAAATAAAATTTCAAGCGGAATAATAATCCGGAAAAAGGGAGAAAACGTTTTAGCTCATGAAAACTCAAAAATATGATTAAAAAATTTTTTTGGGCGTCAGATTCACAAGTCTGAAAATTTCGATCATGGAGTAACCCTATGGATGTAATAACCCCCAACGTCCTAACTTTGAAAATGAAAATGAATTTAGATAGTAAATTTGAAATTCACGTAAAATGCTATATTTAAGCTGTAACAATTTACATCATGGATTTATTATACAATGTTAACAGAAAATCATATTCTAAGTCATTTTTGAATCAAGAAAGGTAGGTATTTATGTGTAATAAATAATGTAAAAATATAATCATTGATATTGATTTATGCTACTTAATTTAATGTTTCTAACTTTTTATTTAATTCATTTTGCGGTGAAACATTTTCAACTAATTTCAGTTGTAATTTACTTTTCAGCCCATACAGTGAATGTTCTATATGCACTATATCATGCAGAAATATTGTTGCATTTACTGCGACATCAGACTTAGAAGGTACAAATAGTAAAATATGGGGTTGTCATATATATGTATGTGATTTAAATAGACCATGGCATATGTATAAGTAATATTTTCTTTGAATATTTTACATTAAAACTTAGAATTTCATATTGATCTTGAACTTCAATTTTTTAGAGTTTCGACTAATAAAGATCTTGTGACAGTACTTAAATGGGATTTGTCAGGAGAACAATTAGTTGTAGCAAATTGTATAGGTGTGGTACAACTTTGGACTTTCAAAGATTATGTATTAAATAATTGGCAGTTAATTGCTTCACATTATTTTATTGGTGAACATATATTGGATGTCGCTTGGTTTCATAATGGAAAAAGGGTAAGAAATTTTTTAATCAATAGTATATTATGACAATTTTTAATATTAATTAGATTAATATCTGTCATCTCTTTCTACAATATAATGAAGTTATAATTTCTATGTTAATTCAAAACCTTATCCTGAATATTTTATTTTATTATATTATATCACAAATGTTATAGATTGTGAATTAAAAATACAGATAGAAATCTTTTAATCATATGAAGCAAATTATATATACTTATATATATTGTTGTATACTTATATATATCATATTATTATTACTTATATATATCAGCGTTGTTTCGTATATTCAAATATTAATTTTATACTTAAAATTAATTTGAGGTTTAAAACTATCCATGTAGCTATTGATATCTCCAGTATATTCCATGGTTTGTACAATGCTGATTTAGATTGCTGTTGTTGTACATGCGATATAATACAAATAAAATATAATTATATTATATTTATATTTTTATATTTAATAATTTGTATAAATCAGTTTAAAACATAATGACTTCTATTCATATTATTTTTTTTATAAATTTGATTATTTGAATACTTGTAAGACTGATCTATTATATTTATATATGTAATATTTTATAAGGACTTAAAAGTGAACAGAGATCATTGGTTATTTATCTGACTATAAATTTGAACATTGTTGTACTTTCACTTATTTCAATATCTCCTGTTTAAAGAAAATTTTATCAAAATCCATATGAAACTTCTAATTTGTAAATATCATTTATTTATTAATTAAAAAAAAAATCTGTATTAATTTTTCATTTAGATCTATTTATTTTAGTAGTTGATAATTATTAACCCATTAAGGCCCATGCCAAAACAGCATGAGACAGTGCTAAACTAACTATGCCATTCATAGCATAAGTGAAAAAAAAGTAATTAAACAAATTACCAAAAAAGTTAATATTTTTAAAAACTGCGGCAATCGATTCCACGGGAAAAAATATGATAAAAACGTATATAACGTTTTCTTGTCAAACTTCAAATTGTTAGTGTAAAACTTCAATAAACAATTGCAAGCCGGACAGGCTCACCTGTTATACGCCAAATCCCAAGCAAAATCCATGAATGGATAGACTACAGTCATTAACTAGCGTTACATTTAAGTCTGACCAGAAAACGTTATATACGTTTTTGTCGTATTTTTTCCCGTAGAATCGATTGCCGCAATCAGTTTTTAAAAATAATAACTTTTTTGGTAATTTGTTTAAATAATTTTTTATGAACAATTGCAAATGGCAAAAGAAAAAACTCGGGTACTTTTTTTTTCACTTATGCTATGAATGGCATAGTTAGTTTAGCGCTGTTTCATGCTGCTTTGGCATGGGCCTTAATGGATTAATTATATTTACCATACATGATAAATAAGATTTTTCTTACAAAATTATAAAATAACTAATTGCTGTTGTATTTCATTGTCACATTGTCATTTAATTTTGACAATACTATTTATTTTATGTAGTTACATTTTTATATATGGTAAAAGATTGTTTATCTAAACTGAGAAAAAATATGATTTAATTGGATGTCAGATTAAAATTTGCTCATTGTTGAAATTTACGTCAATAATTTGTAGTTTACGTGAAATAGTATAATCATCCATCATTTTTAATATTATAAGGCATGGTAGATAACACTTATTGTTGTCAAAAAATATTTATTGAGCAAGAATAACACAGGACCACAAAATGCGTCTTGAATATAACAAAAAACTACTAGTACAAGAGTCCAAGAAATGGAATTTCAAATTCATGAGGCAATCAACATCTTTGAATGAAAATACTATTATTGCTACAATTTTTGCACAATTTGGATTTTTTTTTATTTCTTTAAAATTTCTCCATTATCTCGCTGCAACTTCGCCATACCCGTTTCTCTTCTCAATCATTTTTTGTTCAAAGGTTACATAAGTTATTAAGGTTCTTATTTATGAACCAAGCACTCCTTTATTGATTTTCACTTTAGTGAGTTCAAAAATTTTATAAAAATATATTTAAATGAATCTCTCTCTTGTCTTTTTATGGCCTTTAAAAATTGTTTGATTAATCCTAATTTAATGTGAAGTAATAGAAGTAATATTTTTTTTTAGGTATTAAACTATTCTGTATAATGTTTTTGGAACCTGGTTCTAAATTCACTCGAAAATTCCATTCTTTTTGTACAAACGGTCACTCTTTTCACCCAACTGTCCCATTTGCATAAAAAAAAAAGGATATTTAGTATTACCGCTTTGTTGTCTTAATATAATGGATATAATTTTCAAACCCCACACAACAACCAGTCGTGCTTATCATATTACAATTTTGTCAATACAAGCTTAAGATTTATATAATCTTTTTTCAAAATAGTAGAATGTACTAATGGTATTATGGGAGCATACACGTTACCATTGTTTAGTAATACTGCCTTTAAATTTCTTATCAAAGAATCCAAAAAGAGTCACCATTCATTAGCATCATAAGTAATTGCGAATCACTCAGTTAAAGTTTGAACATTGTTGCAATATACTAAATTTTTATCTCGACAAAAGAATTTTCTAAAGGGCTTATTTCGCGTGCGATAAAATGTTAATTTCATTTTACATGATAAGCAATTTTTTTTTCTTTCAATCTTGATGCTAATAACTCTGCAGTTTTTTTTAAGTCTTAAATCTCTGATTAAATCGTTGAATTCGCATTGATTAAAAGTACTTTTCGCTAGTTCATTCGTTTCAAAATTGTCATTTCTAAATTCATTGGAATCTTCAGACTGTCTGTTATTTGCTAATATGGTATGATTATGTGCCATGACGGAAAAAGTGATGGATCGAACATTGGGATACTCTATAAAGTCTTTGTTCTTTTTTATTTTAGTCGATTGTGTTACACAAACAAAAATAGCAATCGGTTCTACGGTCAAAAGGTTCTTTTTAAAGCATTGAATGAAGAATCTGTTTTGCATATGATGCTTTATTAACTAAGGAAGAAAGGTAAATGTGACAATTTCTACATATGATTTTAGAGTCCATGTGTTACTGATAGTGTCAAATGGAATATGAAAGAATTTTTCATAATTTTTCTGCATATCAGTTGTACAAAGCCTTCTCCATTAAAGTAGCACATATCGTCCACAAACAATACAAAAAGTATTCCTTTCTTTACAGACTGACATTTTTATAGAATCATACTTCTGAAAAATATGATCAAATAAATCAAACAACATAAAATCATTTAATAAATGTAAGATGAATTGAGGTCAAACTTAAAAAATTACAGTTTGAAAAATACTTAGTTTTTTATGGTTACAAGCTTTTAATTAAGTTATGAATAGATTGAATACTCGTGAGTTCAGTACTTAAGACTTCAAACTTTAGTATATGGAGTCTAAGGTTGTAGAGTTTCAGAATTTATGAGTTTATGGCTTTGATTTGTCGGTTTAATGAGTCCTTTTAGTGCTATTGAAAAATCTAATAATCCACTTCAAGATAACAGATATATTTAGGATCATTAACACACTTATTTATTACTACTTTCAAAACCCCTGACCGCGATGAAGTTTTCAGCATAAATAACGGTAATAACTTTTATATGACCTTAAATTTGAGATAATAAAGTAAAACGGAGGTTATAATTGATTTTAGCGTATCAAAATATATGGGGATGCTAGTTGCTATTTTTTAATTAAAAGTTCTGTTTTATCTTCAAATGAATTTAGAAGCGAGGTGATGGGGTTAAAATAAGAATAGATTTGGTTTTAGCTCGTTATAATATATAAAAGGACACTTTTTTGTTTTATTTGCATAGTAACCACAAGATTTGACCTTCAGATGACCTTCCGGGTTCATTTAAACAATAAAAAATATATTTATCTGAACGTAATTTTAAATGCCCTTGAACCGAACGTGATGGGGACAAACGGAGTTCAGATTTGGGTTAAGCGTGCCAAAATACATGAGAATATTCGAGACGTTATCCTATTACATTCGCCCGCATTTTGTGGTCCAGTGTAATTGATACATATTAATAAATAGGGACTACGTTTTTTATCTTGTAATCATTTATGCTCATTTAATATTTACTTTTGGTAAATTATAAATCAATTATAGAAGTTGACTACCCTCAAGAATAATGTAAAGAGTGATATGAAATTATTATATTCTCTCAATTTCAATTTATCGAATATAATGGATTCAATGAATTTTAAAAGTTAGGGTATAATACATCAATTCTCTTAAGAATAACTTTTATCATTAATTAAGCTCTCACAGGTTATAAAATAATACATAATTTATACTTGCTATTCAATCATCATTCATTTTGTAGAGAAATATTACAGTAAACTATTGTTTCTTTGGAGAAGCTTTGTTTTTATTTTATTTGAAAATGTTTGAACTTTTGCTACAGCATATTTGGTATTTGTCATTTTATGCTTTAATCTTTGTTTTGGTTAAGATCTAAGATATTTGAGTATATCCAACGAAATTTTCACTGCAACCATATTTTTTAGTCAATAAAAAACCAATTGTTACTAAAAAAGATGATATAAAAACAACTGAATTAAAAAGTTTATATTATTCATTTTCTAATAAGTGTGATCAAGTTTCTAAACAGTTAAAATGAACACATTCATATGTTTTATCATTTTGCCTTCATAGTTCACAGAGTATTCAGAAAAAAATCTATTAAAAAGCAATTGTCTGATGACAAACTTATTAACAAATTACTAACTACTAACATTTTCATTTTTTTGACTAAATTATACAAATTCAATGTTAGCGACTAATTAGTTGGGATTCAGGTTACAAGCATTATTATCTATTTTTTTTCCAGTTTATCTACATTGCATTACGAGTTTTTTTGTCGAGTTTTAAACGGCTGGGATGTGTGTTGTGTCGAATTACGGTGAAAGAGAGAAATGGGAAAAAAGTAAAGAGATAAAAAAGAAAAAAAAGGGATAAAAGAAAGTGGTAAGCCACTATTTGAGGAAATTAGATAAGAGTTGAATATCTT